GAAAATAATCGAAGTGTCGTCGTCTTCAAATGATCAAGCTGTTCAGAAATTCGAAGGTGATTATTTTGCTATAGCTACTGTGCATTTTACAGAATACTTTTGGCCAGTTTAATTCAATATAGTCCAGAATAACCAGTCGAAACGTTGTTGAATTGGCTAGGCGGAACCCTAAGCCAGGGTTAATTCTTGGACATACTTTACCAATCTATCCCCCAGGTTTACAACCCTGCGATGGCAGATTTGACTTACCTCTTTTCCTGTCTTTGAAGGTGTTATTAAGGCACGTTAAGCCATTGACTATGACGATTACTTAGACGGCGCTCGATACACATCCATTTCAGAGACCTATTACTTGTATGTAGTAGGTGGTTGAAAAGCTCTGACACCAGAGTTCATCGGGTCTTTGGACGGCTCGGTGTCCTATACGAAGAGAAAGAGGTATAATCTTAATATTTTTTGTTCAGATGGAGAGCCGCCGGCTAAGAAGGCTGTTCCCGCACCGACCTCCATCAGGCTTGGGGTTGGATTCAACTGGAACCTACAAGTGAGTTATATTATAAGTGTTAACTACATATACCCGCACGCCAACCGGTTGCATAAACACGCTGCTACTTTGTTTTCCTGTGGTAAACAGCATCTCTACTCTACGTACTACTAGTTCCGTAAGCGGAAGGGGGAAAGCTGGAACGCCAGGTATGTAAAAGTCTTGTCTATATTTTCGCTCTGTCTTAAGGTAAAACCGCACTATAACTGCAGCGAAGCGACAAAAATTGCTTTAGCGATTCCAGAGACCATTTTTACTTCAATTTCGTTGCAGTTCCACAGCAGTGCAGTCATAGTGCGGTTTTCTAATGCTACTTTTCCCTCTGCATCTGCAAAAATCTTTTTTTCTAGGCTTTGGCCGCAGCAGCGGATGCGGTGCAATCCGGCAGCAAATCGCCAGTGTCAGCACTCAACGAGCTGGGTGTGCGAGTGCACTACACCGTATTACGACAGGGAGGACCCGCTCACTGCCCCAGCTTCACTGTTTCGGTCACGGTGAGTTCCTATTTAATCAGTTTATTTCAGAATCTATCTTACAGGTGGAACTGCAAGACCCTGGGTTTTGCGAGATTTGCATAGAAGTTGAAAAACGGTACGCTTATGACTCCTACTCCTAGTTCAAGCTTTTTTTGATTGCACAACCTTGTTGAACTTCCCAAAACACAGTTTTAAGTAGGCAGAATAAAATAAATTCGTGAACTCTACCTTCAAAAATAAAAAATTAAATCTGTGCTGCCAACTTCTATAAAATGTTAGGGATTGGTAGTTTTCGAAAGTAAACAGCAAACCGATTTAATCAGCAACATGCAATCGAAAATAGCGACTCGTATCGTAGTCGATCTCACCTTAAAAATGTTGAACTCTGCATTGCACATTTTCTATGATGCACACACAACGCACAACATAAGATTAATGGCCTCCGTATGCTGTATGCAGGACGTATGCGTAGGTACGTTTCATCACGTGCGTACCGGTTGTATACTTGTATGGGTTTGTATAAGAGGCGGCACACTGCCTGCGCGCGCGTATCGCGGTGTGTCGTGTACCGTCAGTTCCCATGCATTATTATACAACGTCATAGTTACGCGCGTGATGACGTGCACGTCACGCATACGGAGGCGGCGTGTTCTGCCCTTAAAAGGGCTAAGCTTCCACGAAGTACACAGGGTGTGCGTTTGTAGGGAGCAGTCAATTGATCTTGAAAATCGTGATATTTACGCGAATTTGAGTACTACGTCAAGTATTGGGGTTTTTAATGAGCACCAAATGGGACGTGAGTCAAATGAGGTAGACCTAACTAAAGTATTTCGATGCAGTGCTTGGTGGAGTACAGTAGTCACTGTCTGGCAAGTCACACCAGCAAAACCAAATTAACTTATTTCGTTTAATAAATATTTATCGCAGTTTCACATTTATTGCTTGATGTACGCAGTCTCAAATGAAATGCGAAATTTTCAATAAGCGTTGGTAACTTGGTACATTTTTTGCAATTAAGTTGGCAACATTTTTATGTCAACTTTTTCAAAATTATTTTTCGGTTTCGCGGTTTATTTTCTTGTTTTGTTTGTATTTTCAATCCAAAGTTACGCATTCTTAGTGCAATTTCAGTATTTAAGTGAAATTATCACTTGTGTTGACATGTTTTCTATTTGAATGGAGTATTTTTGGTAAAACAGTTTGCGCATGAAGTCGTTACACAGTTCTTACCAAAAACTTCCAACCTACCTATTCGTTTTCCAACAGTTTACTTTACTTCCAGTAGCTTTTCTTTGAGAAATCTGCACTACTTTGCCGTATTTCTGAATCTAATTAATGTCTTTGAAAGCTTTTAGGTGATAAAAGTCCTATAAACTGTGATCCTGTTACCTTTGATTGACTCCATGAAGAAGAAATATCTTAAAAACTTTACTCCAACCAGAACAAACTTTCAGTAGCTTTACTTCATTATTTTAACGTATTTATAAATCTGTTTAGTGTCTTTGAAAGCTTCAAAGTTAGTTCAAACATTTGAACTTGGCTGATATCAAAAAAGTACAGTAGTATGAGATAAAAACTTGTTAAAACTTTGTTGAATGTTGAGAAAGATTTTTGTCCATATGTAAGACAGACTTGTAGGTAACATACAGTCAAGTAATCTGTTCATTTACCATACATAAAATTACAGTTAGCTTTCAGCAGATTTTTATGTTATAGGTACCTAGTTTCACCTTAGTTTGATGTCACATAGATTGTAGATTACATCCATGCTAATCAATCATACTAAAAAACATTACCTAATCATTAAGGCACTTGATAGTCTCATTTTATATCAAATACAAAAACTGAGGCCATACTAAACAAGAAAATCAATTTAGATTGTTTTCATGTTAATCACAATTTTAAATTATCATTTTCTGATCATTAAGTCACTTGGTAGCCCCAATTCAAGATTATTAGGTTCCTAATGTCTACATAGCCACCAAAATGCCACTCTTCAAAACGTTATACACCCGGGCCCAAAATGAGCGAAAACCATTCCACAAGCTGTCCACACGGATGATCACCGATAAGGAGCTCCGTGAGAAGCACCCGATCATGTTGCTTAACGAACTTGGTACGGGGTTCTCGTTCGTTGACACATGCAAGATGGGGAAGGATCACAAACCTCTATTTGGGGTTATGGTTAAGGTGAGTTGTCATGGAACTGTAAGGCAGGTATTCATTTAACAACATTGTAACAGCATTGAAGCACAACATTGTATATTTGTATACATCACAGGGGCAATGTTTCTTAAATATGTGTTGCTACATCCATTCTATTTCAAATGTTGTAGATACAGTGTTTATAAACATGAAACTTGCTGGCAACAAACATGTAGTTGCCACAATACACATGGGTAGATGTTGATACACAATGTTGTAAAATATATAAGGGCCTTAAGCCACTTTGTAGCCTCATTTTAAGATCCGTGAGAAAGACATGTTGCTAAACAAACTCGGTACGGGGTTCTCGTTCGTTGACACATGCAAGATGGGGAAGGATCACAAACCTCTATTTGGGGTTATGGTTAAGGTGAGTTGTCATGGAACTGTAAGGCAGGTATTCATTTAACAACATTGTAACAGCATTGAAGCACAACATTGTATATTTGTATACATCACAGGGGCAATGTTTCTTAAATATGTGTTGCTACATCCATTCTATTTCAAATGTTGTAGATACAGTGTTTATAAACATGAAACTTGCTGGCAACAAACATGTAGTTGCCACAATACACATGGGTAGATGTTGATACACAATGTTGTAAAATATATAAGGGCCTTAAGCCACTTTGTAGCCTCATTTTAAGATCCGTGAGAAAGACATGTTGCTAAACAAACTCGGTACAGGGTTCTCGTTTGTTGACACATGCAAGATGGGGAAGGATCACAAACCTCTATTTGGGGTTATGGTTAAGGTGAGTTGGTATGGAACTTTAAGGCAGGTATTCATTAAGCAATGTTATCTAGCAGCATTAAGCCAGGTATTCATTGGGGACAAAATCCCTGATACTTTGTATCATAGGCAATGTTTATGGACAATGTCCCCAATGTGTACGCTTTTTTACGGGAACTTTGTTCGGGGACATTGTTCAAAACATATCCACATTGGGAACATTTGTTGGAAACTTTGTGTCATATACAAAGTTCTGGGATTTTGTCCCCAATGAATACCCGCCTTTAACACTTTGAGATTTTGTTGCCGCAGGAGAATATTCTTATACAAAACTATAGAACTGTGTCTATTACTGTGTCTAAACATCCATTCTAGTTCTAATCTTGCAAGTACAATGTTTATAAACATGGAAATCATTGCTGGCAACACAATGTGGATAAACAATGATGGTAAGTGACTATGCACCTTAAGGCACTTGGTAGCCCCATTTCAAGATCCGTGAGAAAAACCCAATCATGTTGCTCAACAAACTCGGAACGGGGTTCTCGTTCATTGACACATGCAAGATGGGGAAGGATCACAAACCGCTATTCGGTGTTATGGTTAAGGTGAGTTGGTATGGAACTTTAAGGCAGGCATTCATTTTGCAACATTGTCTAGCACAACATTGTCTAGCAGCATTGAAGCACAACATTGTATATTTGCATACATCACGGGGGCAATGTTTCTTAAATATGTGTTGAAACATCCATTCTATTTCAAATTTTGTAGATACAGTGTTTACAAACATGGAAACTTGCTGGCAACAAACATGTAGTTGCCATGATACACATGGGTAGGTAGTTGTTGGTTGCTAAATGAATAAGGGCCTTAAGCAACTTTGTAGCCTCATTTTAAGATCTGTGAGAAATACATGTTGCGAATCGAACTCGGTATGGGGTTCTCGTTCATTGACACATGCAAGATGGAAAAGGATCACAAACCACTGTTCGGGGTTATGGTTAAGGTGAGTTGATACTTTTGGAGAACTTGCAAAATTTTCCACTGCAGGCAGGTTTTGAACCTGCGACCTCTGTACTGCCGACGCCACTACCAACTGGGCTACCGCAGTTCAAAAGAAGAAGAAAATTGTATCCCTAACACGAGAAGTGTTTTAAAATTTGGTATTCAGTGAGTTGATATCTAACTAGATGGTTTGTATTCATTAAGCAACATTGTTTATCAAACACTGTCTACACTATTTCAAATGTTTTAGATACAAAGTTTATAAACATGGGTATCCACACTGGCAACACATGTGAATTCGCTGCGAGTGCTGCAATACTTATGGGTGTAGTGTAGTTGTTGATATACAATGTTGCTAAATGAAGCCCCTCATTGACCATGGTATAGCAAATGTACCAGTGATTTTGAACTGTACTACCTTCAACTTTAATTGCACAACCTGTACTCTAGCTGGTGTACGAGGGGTGCCACTTGGTAGTCCCTTTTTCAAAATACATGAGAAACACCGGATCATATTGCTCAACAAAGTCAGTATGGGGTTCTCATTTGTTATGGTTAAGGTGAGCTTATGGAATTTTTAGATACCTATATTCGACATTCTGCATTATGTCCTGTGTTTATTGTAGCAACAGTAAGTGAAACACTTAATTGCACATTCAAGACACAAACACATAACAAGAAAGATTAAACTACATATGTGCTAAGTTGACCTTCAGCAATCTCTACAGACAACCTTTGGGTGAAGAAGTTAGAGAAAAAGAGTGATGGAAATCTTAAACAGTATTTAGGAGATATGTGAATAAATGAAATATGTGTTTAGGCCTGTCTTTAGTACTAACACCAGCACACCAACATATTCATTTAAGAAACCAACTTATACTAGTTTTCCATATAAATAATAAGAAGATTCAGAAATAAAGAAAATTATGCAAAATTGGGAAGATCACAAGCATCTACTGTTTTGTGGTTAATCCTATTTCTACCCATGGGTGTTGTAAAAGGCGACTTAAGGAATGAATCCAGGTAATGGGCAGCAGCATTCCCTGATAATAATCTACAACACCTTGCACTGAGATCGCCAATCCGCCTGCCAAGTGAGGTGTGTATGGCATTACGCCTAATTAGGGGCAACCAAATGTCACAAAGTGACTGTCTACAATCAGCCATTTATTTGATTAGGACACATTATGTGGTCATCTAAGCATAGCCTAGAGAGGCAACTTATTTTGGGTAGAGTGGAGGGGAAGCGTGCCCAGGGCAGGGCGCGCTTCGAAGAATGCAGTGGGCGGTAGCATATATTGAGCAGTTCACAAAAGCTACAATCGCTCGGAATGGAGGAGGCTCTCATGTGGTTGCGATCCTCAGCATTGAGGGAACGAGGAAGAAGAAGAAGAAGATTTTAAGGTTCCGTGGTTATTATCACTAAAACTATAAGACATTATAACGGGTTTTAACTCACGGGTGTTTACCCGTGATCATGGCGATTGCAACATCGCCGAAATATTGGGTGCTCGATATATCCCTACCGTGAGCTAAAACCCGTTATAATGTCTTATAGTTTTAGTGAAGAAGAAGATGTCCATCAGTACGCCGTAATAGCACGGGCTAGCATCTAGTCAGTGAAAAATTATGGAGAATTGAACGTTCAACAAATTAATTTAAGCAATCTTTCTAGGTGGCAGATATGACGTTCGAAGGTTGGGGTCACAGCAAGCGCACGGCGCGCGCGTCCGCCGCCCGGGCTTGCTTAGCAGCGTTACTGGCGCGCGCGGGGCGAGTGCTGCCCTCTAGCGAGCAACAGGACTTCACCGCAGACCCCAGCCAAGACAAAGGTAACATATACATACATACAGACAAGACAAAGGTAACATATACATACATACAGACATGACGTTCGAAGGTTGGGGCTTGCTTGGCGGCGCTACTAGCGCGAGCTGGAAGAGTGCTGCCCTCTAGCGAGCAACAGGACTTCACCGCAGACCCCAGCCAAGACAAAGGTAACATATACATACATACAGCCAAGACAAAGGTAACATATACATACATACAGACAAGACAAAGGTAACATATACATACATACAGACATGACGTTCGAAGGTTGGGGCTTGCTTGGCAGCCCTACTGGCGCGCGCGGGGCGAGTGCTGCCCTCTAGCGAGCAACAGGACTTCACCGCAGACCCCAGCCAAGACAAAGGTAACATATACATACATACAGACATAACAAAGGTAACATATACATACATACAGACATGACGTTCGAAGGTTGGGGCTTGCTTGGCGGCCCTACTGGCGCGCGCTGGAAGAGTGCTGCCCTCTAGCGAGCAACAGGACTTCACCGCAGACCCCAGCCAAGACAAAGGTAACATATACATACATACAGACATGACAAAGGTAACATATACATACATACAGACAAGACAAAGGTAACATATACATACATACAGACATGACGTTCGAAGGTTGGGGCTTGCTTGGCGGCCCTACTGGCGCGCGCGGGGCGAGTGCTGCCCTCTAGCGAGCAACAGGACTTCACCGCAGACCCCAGCCAAGACAAAGGTAACATATACATACATACAGCCAAGACAAAGGTAACATATACATACATACAGACATGACAAAGGTAACATATACATACATACAGACATGACAAAGGTAACATATACATACATACAGCCAAGACAAAGGTAACATATACATACATACAGACATGACAAAGGTAACATATACATACATACAGACATGACAAAAGTAACATATACATACATACAGACATGATGAAGGTAACATATACATACATACAGACATGACAAAGGTAACATATACATACATACAGCCAAGACAAAGGTAACATATACATACATACAGACATGACAAAGGTAACATATACATACATACAGACATGACAAAGGTAACATATACATACATACAGACATGACAAAGGTAACATATACATACATACAGACATGACGAAGGTAACATATACATACATACATACAGACATGACAAAGGTAACATATACATACATACAGCCAAGACAAAGGTAACATATACATACATACAGACATGACAAAGGTAACATATACATACATACAGCCAAGACAAAGGTAACATATACATACATACAGCCAAGACAAAGGTAACATATACATACATACAGCCAAGACAAAGGTAACATATACATACATACAGACATGACGTTCGAAGGTTGGGGCTTGCTTGGCAGCGCTACTGGCGCGCGCGGGGCGGGTGCTGCCCTCTAGCGAGCAACAGGACTTCACCGCAGACCCCAGCCAAGACAAAGGTAACATATACATACATACAGACATGACGTTCGAAGGTTGGGGCTTGCTTGGCGGCGCTACTGGCGCGCGCGGGGCGGGTGCTGCCCTCTAGCGAGCAACAGGACTTCACCGCAGACCCCAGCCAAGACAAAGGTAAAAGTATCAAATATTTACAATCTTTAACTACCTTGGTTTTACATGCAAACAACATATCCTTTAGGTATATCAGAAGTTGCCTGGAAGAGATCCAAGAGAGAAGCCACACTAACACTAAGCGAAGTGAGCTAGACATTACGCGTTAAACAGGCATGCGAGGTGACACACCGTGCTGCACCATCAATGCATGTCTTGCGAGCTAGACAATCTCTACGACCCCCTTGAACACTTACCAAACTCTGACACAAACAGAAAATTTTAGTTTGACTATATTTATTGATATTGTTGCAGAGCCTGAAGTAAAGCCGCAAGAAACTAGCACAATTTCGCAGCCACCTCTGATGGAGAGTCCAGCAAATTCTTGTAAGTATTATTTTATTATTAGTGCCGTGTTATACCGACTTAGAATAGTATCACCTCATTTCCATTCCGTGTCGTAAGAGGCGTCTGAGACTCTCGAGGGATGTTCATACATATTACAGAATTAGACGACAGGTTGACATCCTGTCACTATGATGATACACAGTTTTCCGAATGACTCTCAAACTTTTGTCCGACGTGGTGTAAATGGCCGTTTTCTACAAATGTTTACGCTCTACTACCCCGCAAGGGACATTGGCGTGATTAATGTATGCTTACAATATACGTATTAAACAAAACAATACAGAAATTTAACACTAAAAGTAAGCAAAGGCATCCTTATCTTATCTATCATCATGTATCGGTGAAGTAATGGTGCCGTGTGGTGCCGCCTTATAGTAGCATCATCATAATTTTCCCCAAGGCACATAGGCCGAAACATGAAAAAAGTTTTGGTCGCCCATACAAAATGCACCAGCCGATCTAGTCAGTTTGTATGGGAGGTTTTTTTCACATTTTGACCTATGTTCCTTGGGGAAAGTCCAGTTTCATGGGCTGGTTTACCCCTTTATTTTTGCAGTGGATTTTTTTACACCTTATATTTTCGTCCGCAGCCACACCAACCTCCGAAGCGTCGGCCTCTTCGCCCTGGGCTACTTTATTCGGGGCGACCACCACGCCTCAAACACACAAGAGCCCCATCAACCTGTTATACGAGAACTACCCCGGACTCACGTTTACTTGCACCTTTGGGGACGGCACTGGCATCACGGATTCCAATACTCTAGGTAAGTGTTATTCAATCTTTTTGAATATTCGACCCCTTTCCAGGCAAAAATTAACTGGCGACGCCCTGTTGGGTCATCATCATAGTAAGACAAAATTAGTAATAGCATTTAATCGGTGGCGGATTCAGATAAATTTCAAACGTTGTGCGCATGGTCAGGATATTTATATATGTATGGTGAAATTTTACTAGTGACCGATAGCGAAAACTCAGAACCGGCTGTTGATAAAAAACAACTTTCCCCAAGGAACATAGGACGAAATACGAAAAAATAATTTTTAGTTCCCATAGTAATTCAAATCAGCTGATCGTCAACTTTGTATAGGAGGTCCAATTTTTTTTTCGTGTTTCGGTCTATGTTCCTTAGGGAAAGTTGTTCCTTATGACTAGCCAATTCTGAGTTTTCGATATCGGTCACTAGTAAAATTTCACGCGATATAAGTAGACTGAAATTTTCAGGTAAAAATAATAAGGCACAAATACCCGGGTTTATCGCCGCTAGTAGAACCGTTCTGTGGTATT